CAATCTGATTAAAATTAACTCAGTTTAAGTATCCGCCGACACCCCAAAACTCTTTTCAATTTTCCATTTACGACCTTAATCCGGTTTAATGGTTGGTGACATCACACAGGGACTACTCATAGTATATAAATAATCTATATCACTCTCTGTACAATATATCACTGTCTATACAAACCAGTTGACAAGTGTTTATTAACGGTCCAATTAACATATGACTGGCCTAATCGTAATCGCTGAATTATCGTCTTGCATTGTTATAGATTAGACATTTGTGATTTGGATATTTTAGAGTGAATTTAAAATGATGTATCATGCCATTGATCCATGACTATGCATAATAATAAATCGCCCTCATTTCTCAGCCAATCAACGCTGGGAATTTTATTACCATGTACGGACCCATGCATACTACGGGCGTAGTAACTAAGGTTAAATTGTGCTGTGAAAATTGCATGGGATTCATGGAACGGAATATCAAATACACCTGATCAACTGATCATACGTGGAGCTCGTACATTAATGTGTGTACGATTGAACGATTAGTTGTGATGTCGAGTAATGTTTGTAGATGTAGAAAACTTACCCGTAACTCTTTTCGTTTGTTCGTGGGGTATTACGCACATGTTCCACCTAGAGTGATGTCTTTGATCTGGCCGGGGTAAAAAAGATAATTACCTAATCAGGGTTCTTAATCCCACATTGCGGTGTAAATAGAGAATCTCCTACCAGTCTTTTTTTATATAAAAAAATATCAACACAAGTTGATAAAGTAACAAAAAACGAGGCTCTGCCGAGTTTTTTTTACTTTATTAACGAGTGTTGGTATTTTTTGATATCAAAAAAAGACGAGTAGGAGATTTTATTTATTACCCAATCCCTTCTTACATGCAGAAATAGATAAATATAATTCTTTGCTGTAGATTTCACTTTTACTGAACATTACGGTGTAGTGATACATCATTTTTTGACAGCAATTCAACCATTGCAAAGTCCTTTATATTGACCCAGTGTTTCCATCAAGGTCAATCGAATAACAATAGTTAATTTTTAATAAAAAAAATTTACTTTTAATAAGTAATGAACTGTTCTTTGAAAATAAAATAAAGTAGTTCCTTTTTAACTGACCAATCAAATTCATGTACAGCGATATCTCCTAAGGAAATATATCACACAAGCGATATCTACTGTAGAATGTATTATTGGGTGATAAATTAATTTATGACCCTATGTCTGCTGTGCAACTTTAGTCGGATTGATTAATGACAGATATAAACGACACTACACTTGCCATATTACTATCAATACACAATGATAGTTAGATGACCCTTCTCAAAATGTTATTCGATTTAGATGGTTACCAACAAAATTTACTTGTACTGTTAATTCTAACATATATTGAGATATTTTTTCATGTTTCAATTTTACAGACTATTTCAGAGTAATGTAGTCAAATTCACATGCAGAAAGAAAGGCTCTGTATGATGGCTTCAGGAAAATGAGATACAGTTGACTACTCTGATAACGGATCGTCATATACAAATCGCATTTCAATCATTTTTGACTTTTATGATACATTTTGCATGACCACATCTTTTTACTCCTGCACTCTTTTTTTACTCGGGGAAATTAGAACCACAATACTCTTCTAACGGAAATGTATATTAAAATCGCTGTCGTGAGAAGAGAGGGCAGACAATTATAAAACAAATTCTAAATTGGATCTTAAATTAAAATAAATTTCATAACAAATTATTCCATAGTCAATTGTTTTACTTAATTAGAGGATTAAGGAATCAGTCAGGCGTTAATGAATACACACGCCGTAATTAAGGAATAAACATTCCGAATATGCATTAGGTCACTGTGACTCACTGGCGCATGAAGAGGGAATTAAGAGTGTTTTCGATAATTGGCAAAGTCGTTTTTACAGAAGGTCTCTTTTTGCGACTTTGAGTGAAGATAGCTGAATTAATTATAATCAGATTGGTGTGAACTTGCCGTAAAGTGAATATAGTAATAATTGGCTACACATACCAAAAAGTTCCAACTTGACGCAAAGTAGGTCATTTCTGGACGAACATATGGTTTAATTTTATTTCAATAATTCGCTTGCGTGTAGGGGTCTTTAGCAGTGAGAGGAAACCGGAGGACCTGGAGAAAACCCACGAGGTTGGACAGGCGACCCTACTCCTTGTCACGTACAACCGAGATTCGAAACCAGACTTAAAGAGAAGTGCTACATCTCTTGGGTAATGTTGTATAGAATATCCATCAGGTACTAAATTATGCTGTGATTGTCAGTGAATCCGAATGTTCATATTAATATAATATACTCAGCCAAATTAAAAACTTGACACTGATGAATTTCAACAAATTTTTTTTTCTGGTAAGTCAAATAAATTTTAAAGTGTTTCTAACGATAGTAAGTAGTAAGAAGCCTTTAATTTCATAAAATTGTAAAGTCACATGGATCACGTGACTTTTGAGCATATAAAGATGAAAAACCTGAAAAACACGTGCAAACACAAACTCGTGAGGTCAATCGATGCAAGTTTGGTTAAACTGAACACGCACACGTAACTTGAACTGGAAAAACAAATTAAAATTGTTATTTTCATCTTTGTTAGAAAATGCCGAGACGTTCAAATGTAGAACGTCTACGTGCTATAGGTAGGATCTATGCTGGTCAGTCTGTGGTCACTGTTGCAAGAGCCTTTAATTGTTCACGCCAGACAATAATTAATCTTAGAATGAGAGTGCTTCAAACTGGAACTATTGCCGACCGCCCAAGGGCGGGAGCGCCACGTGTGACGTCACTCCAGGAAGATCAAGCAATACGATTACGTCATCTTAGAAACAGAGTTGTCACTGCAACCTCCACAAGTAGAGAGATGTTTGGTGGAAGGGTAACTGCACAAACTGTTCGAAATCGCTTGCAGGCTGCTGGTCTTCGAGCTCTGAGGCCCTATAATGGACCAATATTGACACCTCTTCATCGCCGTAACCAACTTGTGTGGGCCACAAGACACATAAGATTTACTCAAAGAGAATGGAATTTGATTGTCTTTAGTGACGAATCTCGATTCACTTTGAGATTTGCCGATGGCAGGGTCCGAGTGTACCGCAGACGAGGTGAACGTTGACCGATTTGGTGGCGGCAGCGTCATGGTTTGGGGTTCTTTTTGTGCACATGGACATTCTCCTCTTGTTGTTGTCCAAGGGAACTTAAATGCTGTCCAGTACAGGGATCAGATTTTGCAACCTGTTCTTCTTCCATTTATGCAGAGACATGGGCCTGGACTAACGTTTCAACAAGACAATGCTCGACCCCATAAAGCAATTGCTACCCAGAATTTTTTAAGAAATGCCGGTGTCCAAGTCCTGGATTGGTTGTCGCTTAGCCCCGACCTTAATCCTATTAAACACATCTGGGACGAACTGGGTCGACGTGTTCGTCAGCAAGTGAATCCTCAGGTAGTGTTTACTAATGTTCTGAGATCCATGAGAAGACGTTGTGTGGCAGTACGAGACGCTAGAGGAGGCCACAACCGTTACTAAACACTTTATTCCGATTGTTCTCCAAGTCTGTGAATTTTATTTTGGGGGGTACTGTGACATCCCGAACGTTATCAATGTCAAGGACTTTCGGCGAGACGTATTCTTGCTTTCTGTTGATGTCAAGGTTGTCTGTGCACAACATAACACTAAAATAGTTGCCTTAAACCAAATATTAAAAATCTAGTCCAGAAAATCCTGAGTGTCAAGTTTTTAATTTGGCTGAGTATATGAATGTAGGCCTACATCTATATACAGTGATTTATATTAAATCCTTAACATTTTTATTGTAATTTCTAATCAATTATATACGTTTTGTGAAATTGAACGGCAGTCTTTTGAATTGTGCGTTTGTTTGTGAGTTCTGCGTAATATGGCTTGTCCCTATATTTGTTTTTGTGTAAATTATGTGTGGTGCAGTCCCCTGCACAATTACATAACCTAATAATTCCAATTAGTCGCTAAAACTTATAGTTTTTAAGCTTTTAACGTTATCTTATCTAGATTATCGCCCTTATTATTGTGATTTTTTGTCACCTTCTAAGATATGACGTCATTCCCAAAATAACGTCTCTCGAGACAGTCTACATTTCCTATTTGCTTCTTTGTATTCAGTTTTGTTTTTGTTTTTGTGACGGATAGAACATATCCCCTATATGTATTGAATACTGAAACGTTTCTTGATTGATTTTAGAGCATTTAGGTTTAGACTACTTTTTTATACATTTCACTGATATGGTTACTTGTATAGTTGAATTTTACTACATATGCTTACATTCGTTTTTCGTGTATTGCAGATCATGACTCAATGGTTTCTTTGGGTTGTATTCCTGATTGTTTTCAAATTTGAGTGAAGTCTGTGTCACTACAGACCCGGGACTGTACAGCTAGCCCCCGGATCCATTCACTTTTTTTTAATTGTCTGTCTGTCTGTGTTTTCCTGAGTATGATGTCTTGTCCGTGTATTTGTTTTTGTGTAAATTTTGTGTGGTGCAGTCCCCCTGCACTTAACTAATTAGGCCTACGACTTGGGTACTGATTTTCAAACATTCATTATGTATTAATTATTGGATATTAGGATCCCATATTTTCATGGTAAGATAACAACATCAATATTTATTCAAATGGAATATTGAATTTTAATTCGTATTTTGGATTTCAAATTTTATGGAAAAGGTTTAACTTTTTCAAGTTTTTGGAGCAATACATCATGGCCAGATGTTGCTCCGTTTGTGGCGGAAAGCATTCAGCTTTCGAGAAAACGTTGGTTGTGGGCAAAGAGGTTAAAATTAACAGTAAAGACCATCTCAATCCAGCAAGTGAAGTGGCTGGAGAATTATTGGTGGTGTCACTGGTCTGCCTGTGCCTGAGCTTAATAATTCACGAGTTATCTCCTTCAAGGTCATTAATATTGACTGGTTCATTTTAAGGTAAAATAAACTCACCTTATTAATACACGTTTACCGTTAAGATCAATCTTGTCAATGCTCAGTTTGTTAAGAGCCATGGTCTTTTTCACATGCAACTCCTTCCTCTGATGAATAAGACGTGTTTTATCAATGCACAATTAAAATCTGTTTCGATACCACTATAAGTTTACCGGTTCCCGAAGGCCAAGGTCAATGCTTGTGAGGTCATTATAAACTCTTTAACAGGGTAGACACACAGAAACTTGAAGGGATTAAAATAAAACTTCTTAATGATCTTTTAGAGGCATTTAGTAACTGGATAGAGCAATAAACTATAACACATACTTATGGAAGAACAATTACTGATTTATTTGGGCGACGTTTCGAAGAGTATTCTCTCAACGTTTTCAAGCAAGTACAGTAACAAGTGTGTAGAGCAATTATATATAGACAAGCAATAACAACAATTCAGAAACCATGCATGACAACAACAAGATCAAAGGATTAAAAAACAACATGATCAAAGGCAATAAACATATGACGGATTATAGGGGTAAATAATTTTAATTGGACAACCAATCATGACAAATGAGAAACCATACATGATGTGATTGGCTAGGTGAGGGTACATCAAGGAGATAATAAAGGACTGATAATAGGGGTAAACATACCATTAAACCAAACAAAAGGGAAGCCATACATGTTACGAAAACATCAGAGGAGTAGTGAGCTACATAGGGATTAAATGGTTAAGCCATATTTAAATGAATTACAAAATATTAGTATTAAAATGCACACAACATAGCACAACTAATGATAGTCCAACATTCTTCCTTCCGACAGACTCACACATACATTTATTCCTAGGATAAGTACAAGAGACACTTAACTGTTTACAAAGGATAATTACATAAATGACCATAAATAAGTGGTAAATTATAATATTGGAAAGCCACACCACAGTCCTATCCACAGGCTTCTAAGTAATTATGTCCTGCACACTCCTTCCCATTTGACACACATACTTATTAAAATTAGTTCTACAAATGGATAACGAGAATAAACAAGTAATACACATGATACGCGAACTGAGTAACTTAAGCACGTATGGAAGTCTAGGCATGTACACATTAGTTAAGAATTAGTTCATCATAGGCTCTTGGGAGGAATAATCCTGTGTCGCGATTGAGGTCTGGTTTGGATCTCCTGATGTGTATTGTTTCCATGATTTTCCGCGTCTTTTCGTTGTGTTGGTTGAGGGCTAGGGTCTTAGACGACTGGATTTTGTGGCCTGGATTGGACTGGAGGTGCTGGGCAACTGCTGATTCTGCTGTGGGGGACCTTGAGTTATGCTGGGCGAGTCTTTTAGGTAGGGGTTGTCGAGTTTCACCAATGTATGTCATATCACACGAGCACATAACTTCATAGACACATCCTTTAGGTGGCAGTGGAATGGTGGGTTGCAGTTTACCATTCGCTTTCAGGTGGTCTTTAAGCGTGCGTCCTTTGGAAAAAATGACTTGGATGCCTGTCGTTGCGAGTAGCCTTCGGATGTGGTACGATAACGTTCCTTGAAACGGGATGGTTATCCGTATGGGTGGTTTATCTGGCTTGGGCTGTTCAGCAACGGTTTTCTTTTTTGTTCCTTTTATGGTATTCTTGACTTGACCAGTATATCCATTATGATTCGAACCACCCACATAGTGTCAAAAAGTCAACCATAACTACCCTAGCCCGTCGAGCCATCAATATATGTGACGACAACTCCCTCCCCAGTGAACTCACCCATATAGAAAGCATACTCTCTAATTTGAACGAATATCCGCCCCAGTTAGTCAAGAATACCATAAAAGAAACAAAAAAGAAAACATTTCATAGTTTTCTTGAGGTTTCCTCTATGGGTGCTAGACTGGGGTTGATGTACGAGGCCCTGTATCTTCCCTATATATACATAAAGGTCGTAACAGCATAACAAGCATATGGCCAGGAGCTTCGTTCCAGCCTGGCAGCAACGTGGATGATAGTGGTGGGGACGTGGCTGTAAATGAAATACTTGCTAAGAAGCCCTCATAGCATACATGTAGATTATGTTATCAACTGACTTCCAAGATGATTGTAGAACGAACATGTGGAATGCTATTGCGCTGGAGTTCAACTACAACATTGTTGGATAATATACCTAATGGGTAAACTCGGCACAGGCTTCCAGGAACATGCTACAAGCTTATACATAGCAGAATTGGATTCAGAAACCTTTACAGTATATTGTGTTTAGAAAACGTTCTGCCACAAACAAAAATATGCTGAATGTGTGAACATACAACCATTTCACGCAGTTGTAAGTGGCAGAAATCGAAACTGCGCCCCCGAAAAACAAATATTGACACAAAAACGCGACTACGCAAACGGAATCAGCACATCGTCCCATTTTCCCGCCCGACATGAAAGCCATATTGGAAATATGCTAAATATGTGAACATGTGGTAATTTTACACAGTTGTAAACGGCAAAAATGGAATCTGCTCCCCAAAAATTATATCCTGGTACCATAGACGACTACTTATTCAATATCCGCACATCGTTCCATCTTCCCGCCAAAAAATGGCCGTCATATTGTAAATGTGCAAAATAATCATTTTACACAGTTGTTACTAACCGAAATGGCTTCTGTGCCCTTGAAAACATATATATTGACACCAACGACGACTACTTAATCAATATCAGCACATGGTCCTATTTTCCCGCCAAAAATGACCGCCATCTTGGAAATATGCTAAGTATATGAACATGTGATCATTTTACAAGGTTGTAAATGTCAGGAATGGAATCTGTGGCCATGAAAACATATATATTGACACCAAGCACTACTACTTAATCAAAACCAGCACATCGTCCGATTTTCCGCCAAAAATGGTCGCCATCTTGGAAATATCATACTTGAAAGTATAGTCATGAACCCTGCCAATATTAATACATTGCCAAATCACAGTTGATATGTCGATAACATTATAAATAAGGTGAAAATAATAAAATAAGTTGGAATATTATCGCAAAATGGCTACCCTCAAATAATGGCCTCCCATACTATGAAGACCTACTCAGAAAAGATGTCAACATTGTTTTTTTGTAATCAAACATCAAAACCTACAAAATAAAGCTTATTCCATGATTTCTACCCGAAAAGCCGACGGATGGGAATTAGGTAACAAATCGAATCCGACTAAAACATTGGAATTCGCACATGAGTCAATTTATTTTGCCTGCTGAGCGGTCACCGGTCGTTATGTACAAGTCAAGAACTCGATTGAGTAAATAATTTTGGAGTTCTCGATTTTTGATATCTAGCGAATATAGCAAGGCGGTTTAAACAATATAATTTTTCCTTTGTTATTTCTTTATATGTGATTATGTGAAAAACTTTTCGACCATAGATATACATTGTCCGTCAAACTTACCGCACCCCTCAGAACCCCCCCCCCCCCCCCCGTTGCTCGAAATAGTTACGACCTTGGTGGAGATGTCGAGGAAAATCCTGGACCAAATGGCAACATATCTCTCGTGCATCTGAATGTAAGAAGCTTACGCCATAAACTTCACCTTGTCTCCCCAGAATTCTCTGGAAATTTCATCGGACACCCTTTCTATCCCAGGTTTCAATGCACCAATTCGCAAAGACAGAACTGCAGTACAGGGTGAGGGAGTAGCAGTGTATTCTCGCAATAACATTTTAACAAAACGCTTTTAAATCTAAACTCGGCTACCTTGACCAAATTATACCTTCAACATACTGCTCTGGCAGCAGGAAAAATCAAATTCACCACTCTCGACTTCGACTCTCTTGCAGTGATTTAAACGGACATCGTTTTCTCAGACACATTTCTGACAGCCCTACATGCGATTGTGGTCACGCCTTTGAAAACTGGACATTTTCTTTTCATTTGCCCCTTACATTCAGATGCACGATCTGCGACAATATCAAAACTCACACAACTTTATCAAAATTCTCAAAATTTATTATTCGGAACTGAAGACAGAAACAATTCTGAAGAATTTTTTCTGTAGTACATAACTTCCTCGACATCTCCCAAAGATTTTGAAAATTCCGTATGAAAATGTATGAAATATAAATCTTGGGGTTTGTACATATCGTGTATATAGTGTATATAGCCATCTTATAATTTAATCGTTCCCCTACTTTACTTTTCTTTTCTTTTTCTTTTTTACATCTTTTCAATATATATTTATGTTTGTACTTTTATGGAGAGTGAGTTTATAGACTTCCGCCTGTTCTCCAATCCAATTTCTGTGAATAAATATTGTTAGAAAAAAAAATAATTTTTCAGATTATCAACTCAACTGTTCAACCAAAAATGACCGAAGAATATTAATGAAGGAAAACGTTCTCAGGGTTGTCGAGGTTACCCTATAACAAAGAAGTTTATTTAGGTCCTATATTATTATAATAATATATCTAACCTTTGAAAAGTTAATTGCAGTGCTGATAGTGATATCCGTTGCAGAGAAACTGTGATAGATTACCTTCTTCTTTAAGACAGAAGAGAATGGAATTCATTAAAATTAGAACAATTATTAATTTTTATGGAAGTGAAGGATCAGTTGAAACCAAATACAAGACGGTAGAGTGTAAACGCGCCGAAAAAAACATTAATTCACCTACACATACAATTTGTTATCACCCCCTGATGACGATCGGGCTCTAAATAGTTATTCGTTATAATATTTCATATCATACATTTAAAATAAATTAGTCTAATGAGAGAAAAATTGGGGTTTTTCTGAAGATTGGAGGTGAATTCCGATGATTGAAGGGGATATTGGTACTGTACATTATAATTGTGCATAACAAGACGTTGTCTCCTCTTCGACCACATTATCCCTTGCTTTTGTTTACAAATTATATTGGAATGTTATAGTTAAAATGTAGGACGTGTATAGAAGTACTATGGTATGGATCTATAGATTTACAGACGACATTATGCAGATGATGTTTATTCTTAGACATAACGTTCATACATGTTGGAGCCTCTAATAAATTTTTATTAGAATGTTAACTGTATGAAGATTTACGTACCGTCCACATGTAGCCAACGTTTACAGACAATTATCTACTCTATTCTCTAGAAAGTCTATTTAACCCACACAAAACGGTTGCAAGACCAATTAGTGCATTTGTATTCCATGCAATGAATCTAAGAGCATACATTGT